GCTTATCACCATCAGCCTATAGGGGATGCAGCAAGCCGTCATCTCCGCGGGTGTGCAAACTTTGTACTAACCCGTCGGACATCCTCATCCGAGAGGCCGTAGGTCTTGCCATGTCTGAAAATTTAAAAGAAACCTCTGATGAGGGGAAAATGCAGCATCTAGTACTGATGTCATTTAGCGAGGATTCTGATCTGAGTCATAAGATTGGGACAGAACCACATCCCCTAGCTTCGAAAGACGCAACAAAGGTTGTCAATGTAGTTGAAGATTAAACGATGAATTCATGGTTGTTTGCTCAAAACCAACTTCCCCAATTTTCGCGGATGCATCAATACGACAGTCATCGTCTCATCGGTCGCTGTTCAGAAGGAAGTCAGGAGAAAACTGTCAGAAGTAATACTGTGATTCATTATTGTAATATTTGTTCATAGAACTTAGTTGTAAAGCTTAGTTGTACAATGGCTATATGTTGGTGTTAGACTAAATAATTCTCGAGTCGCCAAACTGGGCTCTGGTTTTTGCGTCCGTTATTACTAAGCGTTTCTGAGAAGCTTCGAGGAACAGCGTGAGTCCCAGCGTAGCAAGAGCTGGGCATTAACGGCTTACGAGACGTGGCTGACAGAGGTAAAGTGTGCCCAGAAGTCTGTAATAGTGCACAAAATCCCCGAAAATCTAGGAGGGCAAACAGTGTCAACATTGTAAGACAGCAGGGTGATACCACAACGACGAAGCGTTGCGTGTCTGGTGGACGCACGGCTTCCGACCGCGGCGAGAGTAAAGTGGAACCAACTGGTTCCACTTGGTTAGTGTCGAAAAATAGGAGCTCAAAAATGATAGGAAAGAGAGAACACTGTGCTTAGTCAGAAGGTCTTAACGGCCGTAAACACTAATAAGATTTGACCTTCAGACTCAAATTACAGTATAGTAATTTGGAACTAGGAAGAATCGAGGAAGGTAGATCCAGCTGCTCCACGTGCTGATGATCTCGAGGTAGTTAGTTCCATCATCCGTGAAACACTTCCGGAAATAACAGATAGAGTTCACATAAGAAAAGTCATCAGAATCAGTTAACGAATCACCGATGCAACGGAAGGTTCCCCATGACTGCTGAAGATAGTACTGGGAAACGAGATGGAGAAATGTATTGTTCTCAACAACACATCCAGGATCAGGATAAACAGATGGGAATTAAACCAGACTGGCCTCTGGAAGATAGAATTAGGAGAAGAGAAGCCTTGGCTGAATTAAAGGCCCGATTAGAAAAAGGTGAAAAAGACCTCAAACTGTTGGGTTTTCGGGTAGTGAGGTCTCGTAAATCTATGTTGCCCACACCTCTGTTCATAAGTCGAGTGAACACATAGGTCTCTCAGTATGCTACACGAACGCTTGTAGTCTTGGGAATAAGCTTCCAGAACTAGGAGTGTTTTCTTAGGAACTACAGCTGAATGTGATTGCTATCACCAAAACATGGTTGTCAGTGGGTATAGACTTAACTCCACTCATACCTGGGTACATATGCATTAGAGCAGACAGAGTAAGTAGCCGGAAAAGTGGGGGGTCGCTCTATACATCCGGGATGACATAGGAATTGGATCGACGTTGTCGGAAGCTCATGGCAGCAGCACCTGTGAAGTCGCAGGTTGTATCATTAACTTGAACAAAAGCACTCTGACGATTCGGGTCATTTATAGAAGTCCTACCACCCAAGCTGATGATTTCGTTCTAAATCACCTCAGGGCGTGGAGTAGCAAGAATAGGTGTCTAATGGCAGGTGAATTTAACGCCCCACATATTCAGTGGGAGGAATTAACATCAGCTACTTCGTACAATTGTTTCAACAGGGAACTAATATTGGCAGTACTTGAATGCGCGCTTGTGCAGCATATAGATGCACCAACACGATACCATCCTGATTATGATCCGTCCACTTTAGACTTGATGCTAACACACCAGAAGGAGGATATCGGTGACATTAGGTACCTGACGCCGCTAGGCAGTAGTGACCACATAGTTGTCACTTTTATGTTTAGGATTGAGGCTGTTATACATAGGTCAATAGCTGCTCGCCCAAACTTTTGGAAAGTGAATGTACCTGCAATCCGAAATGCAGCAACCCTAGCTGACTGGTCTGTTAATACACACCAGACTGTTGAGGAGGCTTGGATGGGATTTAGGAGCACACTACAGTAAGTCACTACACCCTTTGGTCTACGCCTTGAAAACCATTTCATAAGCCATCTTGGATTAGAAATGAAATAAGGAGGTTATTTAGAAAACGAAAGAACTTAAGGGACCAGTTTGCTGCGACTGAGAGGGATGAGTTTAGGATAGAATACAGCAAAGTTCGAAATCTTTGTAAGTATGAGATTGACAAAAGTCGTTTAGAGTATGAGAGACAGTTTGTGCTGGATTGTGTGCATTATCCAAAAGGACTGTACTCGTTTATCAAACGTAGGACTAAAACTAGCAGTGGTATACCGTCTTTCATTAGCAACACAGGAGGGGCTGCCAAGTCAGACGAAACAAAAGATGAGAAGCACTCCGAATACTTTTTTGATGTTTTCTGGCCTAATAGTGCCATTCATGGGTGTAGCGAGGTCACTGATGCAGACACTAAAATGCCCACAATTGTAGTAGAGGATGCAGTGGTTCTCAAACTACTGTCAGACCTGAAGCCAGATAAATCACCTGGACCAGACGAACCGCACTCTAGATTCCTCATCTCCCTAGCGGATATATTATACATTCCACTCACGGAGATTTTTCAGATGTCTCTGACCCAGGCTAGGCTACCCAGGGACTGGAAAGATGCTTTTATAAGCCCCATCTTCAAAGATAGTAACAGGCAGTTAGTATCTAACTACCGGCCTGTAAGTCTGGCCTGCATTATGGCAAAGGTGTTAGAAAAACTCATAAGGGATCAGCCCTTAGCTCATATGGAAAAACACGACTTACTGGCAGTGGAACAGCGTGGATTCCGACAAGGACGATCCTGCTGGGCAAACTTATTGTTAGCTAGGAAAGATTGGGTCGAGGCCAGGGATAAAAACCATGTCAATGGAGTTGAAGATTGAACGATCAATTCTTGGTTGTTTGCTTAAAATCAACTTCCCCAATTTTCGCGGAGGCATCAATACGACAGTCATCGTCTCATCGGTCGCTGTTCAGAAAGAAGAGTGAAACATCGTCAGAAGTAATACAATGATTTATTATTGTAATATTTGTTTTCAGAGCTTAGTTCACTTATTCTTTATATATGTTGGTGTAACGATAAAGAAATATCAAGCGGCAGATCGGTGTTTTGGTTTTTTCGTCCGTTATAACTAAGCGTTTCTGAAATCTTCAAGGAACAGCGTGGGCCCGAGCGTAGCGAGAGCTGGGCATTAACGGTTTATGAGACGTGATTGACAAACCATCTATTGGGCGTTGTCTTTATCGATCTTAGTAAAGCATTCGATAAGGTATCTCATTTAGGTCTTCTTAGTAAACTTAAACGTTTTGGATTAGACCAACGCTGATGTGAGTGGTTTAGTGACTACCTGGTGGATAGGAGGCAGAAGGTGAGGGCTAATGGTGTGCTGTCAGGGTGGAAAGCAGTACTAAGTGGAGTACCCCAGGGAGCTCAAACTGGCCCCTGCTATTCCTATTATACGTAAATGAAGTGCCGAAAATTCTTACCTCATCTTCCTTACTATTTGCGGACGATATTAAGTTATGGAAAACCGTAAATAGCAACGATGATAGGTTAGTACTACAAAACAAATTAGCCGAACGGCCTAACCTTTAAAGTCTGGAAACTAACTCCAAGAAAAGCGCGGTAATGCACCTAGTTCGGAAGTCTTACACATTGTACTCCATGGGGAACACAGAACTGTCAGATGTTAGGGGACAAAAGGACTTGGAAGTTATTAAAAGCCATGACTTAAAAACAACAGCAAACTGTAATCGAGCTGCAGATAAGGCTTTTCGAATGCTATGGTCACTTTGAGGGGCTTTCAAACGATTAGATGAGGCTATGTTCCAAGTACTCTATGCAAAATATGTCAGACCTCATCTAGATTACAGCATACAAGCAGCAAGTCCATGCTTCAAAAAGGAGGCACATATCCTGGAAAGAGTAAAGAGGGTAAATACGAAATTGGTTAGTGGTATCTTACACCTTCCGTATGACATGAGGATGGAGTATTTAAATCTCTTCCCACTATCATACCGAAGGAGGAGAGGTGATTTAATTTTGGCTTACCGTATGTTTAAGGGTGATTTAGGGATTGACCTTTCAAACCTTTTCTCTCCCTCTAGGATACATTTACGAGGTCAACACAAGAAGATGCTCAAACCGAGGTCGAATAAATTATGTTTGGAGTTTAGATTCTTTCACAGAGTGATCAACCACTGAAACTCCTTAACTGATTCAGTAGTAACAGCTCTATCGGTAAATGCTTTCAAAGAGAAACTGAATCTCTTCAGAGATACATATCGCGAGGACTTACATAGGCAACAAGAGCCTTCTTTCTTTATAATCTGAGTCTGAATCTGACTACTCTATCTACTAATATATATATGTTAATTTGAGGCTTCCCTAGCCATCTATTTGTACGTTTTCTTTCTTCCTTTTTGAGCCTACAAATTCTGCACTAACTATATCTGTTACTGTTATCTCTCCTGATCACATGGATGACTAACGGGCGACACGGTCTACACACATGGCATACTGCAAACCAAATATGATAGTGGTGGGAAGAACCACGCGTAAGTTTATTGGCGACGAAGAAGCTCTCCTTCACAATCGAAAAGCGAGCACGAAGAAATCAACTGGGTTTACATTATCTCATGAAATTGATATTGGATATTGGAGAGCGGGACTTTTGAGTTCAAGGTGAGGTATTACTGTCTGACCTTCGAAGTGTACTTGCATACATATAATCAACAGATTCGACCTATCAAGGTTAAGATTGAAACACTGTAGGAAGACAAGATTTCGCAAAGAACACTGTTTAAAAATGACATTCAGCTTCAAGTCTTCAAAGTACCTGCTGATTGCGCTCAACCTATTATATTTGGTAACTCATATATCAAGATAATTACTGCCATATTTTAAAGGTCGTTTCGTTCATCCTCGTTGGTGTTGCTGCGTACGCCAGGCTAAGTATTTATGTGACGAGTGTTCATATTGTTGGTGGTATAATAGCTTGTGGAGTGTTTCTCTTCGTGCTCGCTGTGGTTGGTATACTGGGAGCTATCAGACATAGCCAAGCAATTTTATTTTTCGTATCCTTTTGTTTCGCATTCTCTAAAGGGACGCACACCTCAAATAAATATTTTCGTATGTGAATACTAGCTCTGGCTGAGCCAGCATACAGTGAGTATATTTCGGCAATGAAATACTCGCCAACAACTCAGTATCTGTCGTCCGATCCTCAACTGACACACTGCCTAGCCTAACTTCACACAAACTTGATACAGAGCGGGCACTATGAAATCCACATCAGGCAATCGTAGATGGTTTAAATACATTTTTGAATTGTAACTTGTATCATGTGCAGTCGGAAGAATGCTTTTTTTAAAGACCAAGACAAAAGGTGTAAATATCATTATGGATGGGCTGATTTTTGTCTTTATATCCCTATGGGATGTCAACATTTTAACATCTGACTTCCGTGCTTGGTAATTTATTTGCACACGCTACTGCAACTAGAGGTTTCTCCTGGTTACGTGATGTTAAGTAAGAGTCGCTTATGGAATCCACTTAGAAGTTTGTCCTGTATGTAATGCGAACATACGCGGAGGACGTCCTTATTTTCTTCAGTTTCCTACTTAAATATTGAACTCACCATCAGCTCACTGGTTTCAAGTTCTTCATTTTGAAGTTACTGCTTTGCAATTAGCTCTACCTTCATATCTCCGAAGTTTTTGTCACTAGACTTTTAATTTGAAAGTAATAGTAGCTGTGTGTTTTGCAGTTCATATTAGATTTGTATGAAACTTCTTGGTTTAGTGGCATCCATTTTATCATCTGTAATCTTCTGGAGGATTTTACATCCTCATTATTTGATGACGTCTACATAGGATTTATCATATTTTACACTATAACATAAGCATCGTTAATATTCTGCACTTGGAAGCCCGCAGAAACTGATTTAGCTGGTTTTGAATGTAAAGTTATGCTACAATGTCTCATTGCAACATTATCTTAAATTACACCAAAAGTGAGAGGTGTTGAACAACACATATCTAAGATTTCCCAACACAAATGATCAGAAGAAGTGTCTTTAGCAAAATAAAATGTGAAGATTTAGTAATAGTTTTGCAATCCATTCAGGGATTTTAAAGCACTGTTTTGATGTCACACAACACCATAGACATCCTTGAATTATCACTGCTGCTATTGACCTCAACATTTGTGATGTAATAGAATTATGGGAAATAATCACCTTGCCTATCACTGCTGCGCAGTAGTAGTTACGTACTACATAAAAACCTCTCTTTAGACATCATTAGCTCCTTAACAAAAACCAGTATATAATCCTTCTTTTCAGCTTGTTTCTTGTCCAGTTCTCTGTAGCATGTGCATGTCTATCGATTCCCAGTGATTATCAACAAATTCTGGTTGAAACAACGTGGAAACAAAGTCCTGATAGCGTGAAATTAACTGTTATGAAGGCATTCCAGTGTTGTGGTCTACAGAGACTTGAATTCTCTTCATCGGACCCATTAGGCTATCCACCGTGCAAGTTAGCTGACGTAAGTGGATTACATTGTCCTTAATTTTTATGAGTTTATAAACCCGTCATTTTATTTTTGTCAAAAGAAGTGGTAAGCTATTTAATGCAAACAGCGAATATCAGTATCTCATACTCTACCTCTTCTACTTGCAGATCGATTAAGAATTCATGGGCCACTGAATTGGGTCCCAGTGGCTTAATGGTATACGAGCTCGCCTTGTAACCAGAAGATCCTGGGTTCGAGCCCCGGCGGGTGCGTACTGATGAAGAGCTCCAAACTAGGACGAAACAGCTGTCCAGTACTCCCAGGTTTTCCAGTGGTTCTCTGACTGATGTCAGCTCATGATGGAATCCTCCAACGAAACTATCGTTAACTTTGCACAGAAATGCGACCATGCTCCAATGGACTCTTGTGCATAAAACAAAAAAAAACATTTAAATAAGAATTAGTTTACATTTTCACGGTCTGAAAGATGAAAATGAATTAATGCATCTGCTCCACTGCGAAGTTTCCTACCATATAATGAAGAGTAACAGACCGTTGATTCCTAGGGCCTTGGAATATCCAGCTAGGAAGCCTACAGCTAACTGTTTGGCTCAGACGAGTAGTCGATAACTTTATTGGTTGATGGCATGTTTTAGTCTGACGAGTTAGCATTACTAGACGAGGTCATGTGTTCGCATGTGTGACATTTCCTAGCCACGCTAGTCGATGAGGATTCACAATCTGATCAATTACATATCTTTGACTGATACCACACGTAACTTCATTATTACTCTCCAGGTTACTCGAAGTAACACACTTGAATGAATGCACTGATAATCCAAACAATGTAGTCTTTTCGTCTGGTCATACTTCACAGTTGTAAGACAGCAAACTGATGCCATTTGCAAAATCTTTCATAGGTAGTTGGATATCTCACTGGTCTACACATTCAGCCATACCGATTTCTGTCTCTAAGCTGGGAGTCTTCCAATCTAACTATTTTTTTATGTGGGCTTAATTTTATGCCAATTATACTCAGTATTTTCCTTAGGATTGTGTCTAGTCAGTGACTCCACCTAAAATAAATATGTTGTTTGTGTACTGTGAATCAGCGGGACATTTCCTGGTGATCAGTTCCTGAGGTGTTAAAGTCTCAGTCATCACTATGTCTTCGGAAAAATAAAATCTGTATTTCCCATTCCTGATGGGTACCAGCATCTTAGTTGATGCGGTTAAATGTTACTATCGAGAATTTGCAGCGAAGTGACCTCACTATGTTCATTGTTAACTTTGTGTCCATAAACACCGCATGGGACCATATCTCCTTTTATATTTTATGTTAGTTCTAAACAGGAGTATGTTATTAGCTAAATAAAAGTGCAGAAGGCGACTACGGTGTCAGTCTGGTAACATGGGTGTCCATGAAAAACCCACTATCCTCTTTCCACTGAGTAAGTATTGAAATTACGACTAAATCTGAGTGGTCTGCGTTTTGCAGCAAACCCAGTAGCTTCTGAAGGGCACTCATCATTTACTTCATCTGCAATGCGGTCAGTGGGTACACTCGTGTAGGTCTCGAAAACGCTCACCGAGCGCCATGGTCTTTTCTTATCACTACGAATCCCTTCTCTGTGACCTTAGAGATCAGGTGACGAGAGTTTAAGGTTGGCCATATGTCTGTTTAGTGGTGGTGAGAATTGCTTGGTTGATTCCGTCTGATCATATCTTCACCCTCCGACAGATTCTAGAACATAGGCATTCCTACCGGCGTCCAACAGTCATTATATTTCTTGACTTAAAGGCAGCATTCGACTCTGTCGATCGGGAAGTTCTCTGGAGATGCTTGGCTGTAAAGGGAATTCCAAGAAAATATATTGCACTGATTAAGGCACTCTACTCGTACTCATACAGCCAGGTGAGGGCTTACGGCGAGCTGTCATCTGAACTGATGACGACCAGTGGTGTCCGTCAAGGATGCCCATTATCTCCTTTTCTATTCAACTTCATCATAGATGTGTTAATGGACTTAACCCTAGGTGACTTCAGCGACTCAGGGATTGACTTGCTACCGGGGAATAATCTCGTTGACTTGGAATATGCAGACGATATAGTCCTTCTAGGCGAAGACGCTGACGAAATGCAGAGTCTTCTAAACACCTTGAGCCGCAATCTACGAATGTTTGGCATGCGATTCGCTCCCGCCAAATGCAAGATGATGTTACAGGACTGGACTACATCGACGCCTAGTTTAAAAATAGGAAGTGAAGTGGTAGAGCACGTTGACCGCTTCACTTATTTGGGAAGTACCATCAGCCAGTGCCAACGGGCTGATCTCTGACGAAATCTCAGCACGAATACAAGGGGCTCGTTTCGCATTTGTTAGTTTACGCCGACTCTGGCGTAGACGAGATGTTCGACTATCGACCAAAGGGCGGGTGTACTGCTCATCAGTCCGCTCCGTCCTCCTTTATGGTTGTGAGACCTGGCCACTGAGAGTGGAAGACATGAAAAGACTAGCTGTCTTTGATCATAGGTGCCTGCGTTCTATTTCCCGTGTAAAGTGGCATAATAAGGTGAGCAACATTGAGGTTAGGCGTCGAGTTCTAGGTAAACAGGGGAAATCAATCGACGAAGTCGTGAAGCTACAAAGACTGAGATGGTTAGGACATGTGTTACGTATGCCAAGCCATCGCCTCCCTCGACGAGCTATGTTAGCGGATATAGGGTCAGGCTGGAAAAAAGCTAGCGGCGGTCAAACAAAAACTTGGCATCAGTCAATGAAATCCACAACAGTTGGTCTAAGCCACGTAGGAAGGTGTAGACTTCCAGGCTGGGGTCCTCGGGACGGTAAAAATCTATGGTTGGAAACAATTGGTGACATGGCTCAAAATCGTTCTCAGTGGCGCAGATGCATCCACTCCCTGTGACTTATGATCTTCAATGAAACTGTTTTGTATTTCTTTATTACTCCTTTGTCTCACACCTCTGCTCACTGTTTCTATTATGCTTCTCTTGTACTTTCTTCTCTTGCTTCGCGTGCTACACGGAATGTGGCGACTTGAACTTCCGCACATTTGTGCAAAGTTCTATGTCGAAAACAGACAGACAGACAGGCTACTGTCCGCAGGAATTTGAGTCAAAATGTTGAGTATTGAGTCGTGTCAATTTCATGGTTAGACCAGGTCATGTATAAAAAAAACAGCTTATATCAAGAGTAGACGCTTTTTTTACAATATTAACCGAACTTAGGTACGAATCCATGTTAGATGGAAGTTATCGTTCCGATTTTGTCTTTCTTAAGGTCTTGTTGATCTGAAAATGTGACTTTTTTTATCAATTGAATTTTGAGTGGTATTCAGTTACTTGACTGGTTGATTACTTCTCAGTGTTCTAACTACCAGAAATTCTTACAATACTATTACCCACACATATTATTCTTACGTTCCAATAAGAGTTATAATTGTCTTTATTCATATCTACTGCGAGGATCGATGATATTATGCTGTTTAACTGATACATCGTGTTCATGAATTCTCTGAGCTGCTCGAAAGCCGGTTTACTTAACATAGTGATAATAAATTTTCATCTTTTATAAATCCGTTAAATCTCCGCTGGACGATATCTGTTGAGCATTGCTTTTGTGTTACTTTACCACTAATCAGATGAAAGTACCAACGGAATATTACTGCGACGTGACATGAACATGAATAAATAATAAACTCTGTAGAATGCTGGGTAGTCTTCTAAGGAAATCATTCCCCTATTTTCGGTCTCTTCACGTTTAATCGTAGTTTGTGGTGAATTCTATCATGAAATCAGTTGAATTCTAACTAGTGAAGTGATTTCATTAATAATATTAGAATACGTGTACATTAAGTGAAGAGGCCTTTAGAAACGGATGAGAATCTCAAGATCTTTTGTCTAATGTTCTGTTATTAGGCTGCCTGGTTCTACTTTTTAAATTCACCTGACCTTTATTTTCTGTGTTAAAATTTCGTGACTATGCTTTAGAAAGTTGGGAAATTTGAACGTAAATAATATCGTACCATTTTCAATAAACTTGTAATGAGTATTTTCAATGTTCACGTTTTAGTCTCTGGTGGTAGTTAGAGTAAAATTACTGCCAATAATTAACAGCAATGATAAGAATTTTATGTCCTGTAGCGGGTTTCGCACTGTTCGAAACAGCCAGTTACATGGAGAAAAAATATTTATCCACACAAAATGTAGACACTAAATATTTCCATTGTTAAGATTAAAACAATGCATATAAGCGAACAATCTAGCTTTCAGTCATATCATCAGATTGTGCTCTGATGTAAATATACGCTTGTGTACATTAAAGTCTGAAGTTTTCATTGTAAATAGTATTGTTCACTTATTTTTCTTGTCTTAATTTTAACAAAAACTGGAGCCGAGTTTCAATTGAATCTAGATCTTTATGTTGACGGTATATTTCTGTTTTCCAGCTGCCCTGTTGCAATACACCTGAAGGTCAGAAAGCTGCATGCTGCCAAGGTTCAATTTTACCACCTAGTAGGAATAATAGTTATTGCCCTTGTACTAAGACTTGTTGGCCTGAGATCGAAGAGCGACTGTCTACTGCTGTTCGAGTCACGGGTGCCACTAGCCTTTTCTTCAGTGTTGTTGAAGTGAGTTTTCCACAGTTTTACATAATCCTTATTAGTGTTTGGGCGTTTTTGTTGTTAGGCCGTTATCTTTTGATAATATTGTTTGAATAACTATTGCTTTCAAGAGATCGGTTGTTCCAAATATTTGACAAAGGCAAGCAGTCTACATGAAAGTAAAAATTACTGCTTATCAGTCTGAATCAGAAAATAATGAAAGGTGGTATTAAGAGTGGAAATTATATTGTCAAGATTCTGTTGTACTTCATGGCAAGAAAAATAAAAGGTGAAGCATGTAAACCATTCTGAAATCAAGTTAAAAATGAGATCTGAATGCATCTATCCCCTCGTGGTTGATCGTATAGTGTACCACTCGGAATTTCTAGCCATGGTTCTTGTAAACTCTTAAGTTTCATTACTGTACATGGCTCAGACTAGCGGCCACTGACTTCAGGGTTGGTTGTCTCTTCTTTAGCTTCACACCTCAATTTTTCCAGTTATGTCCTTCTTCCAATCGCGTAATAATTCAAGGTAGATGATGAGTAGGTGTGTTGAACTTTTTCCCGATGCTTCAGAAAATGGCAGTTTATAATCTTGTCGTTGGAATTATCAGTCTTAAGTACACACAATCTTTTCATTTCCCACGTAAACAAAGACAAGAAGGCAATTGTAATTAAATACTCAGTTTTACCAATTAGGTCTTCGACAGTTACATATCTGGGTCATAGGGTAGGAAAAAAATTGTGCGGTTTAGCAGTGGACAAACCTACGGTATATGTGACAAGCTTCCATCAACTACCAATCCACTAGGCCTCACGTGGCTTCTAATGCAAATAAAATAGTTGATACGCCCAACTGGTGATCAAAGGTCACTCCTAAAGCAAAAGCTTACCTTGGAAGCTGCATCCAAAACGTTCCCAGTGGGAAATTTTAAATCTTGTCCTACCTACCTCAGCCTGTGCGATGGTTTAGTGTCACCGGTCGTCGCTTAGTAGATATGGTTCGTAGCTTGGTGAATGAAAAATCTTTTCCACTTAATTGCTTTCTAACTAAGCCAGGCTTAAACACACAGTAGTCTAATTAGCCCTCACCATATTGTGGAAGGCTGTATACGGTGACCTTTAATGTTACGTTTGATTGTTTTATTATCTGAAGTGACACTTTTAAAGTTAATATTAACCTTACTTTTTGGTTGTTTTATTTCACTGCTTCTAGTTTATGCATAAGGGTTAAAAGTTATTTCGTTAAACTGAAACTAATGCAGTTAGTCAATGTCAAAATAAGATCCATTGCCGCTGTGTAGTGCAATTTTCTTAGGGTTACTTTATATTTGATGATATTAGGTGGTTGGACCTAGGTTCCGTGCTAGCTGGCATTCGTCAGCAAGGCGTGTCTGCAACCTTGGAGGAACTCATGTTCTTTCTGAGATTCCAACCCGCGTCATCCAGTGCTGCAGTCAGAGACGTTACCCCTAAGCTATTCGGGGTCACGATTGACTTCCTGTGGGACTGTATTGGATTCTTTGATTGGACACTAGTCAGGAACCAGTGTAATGTGTATAGTCCTTTCTTTGGTGCAGACTGAATTCTATCAGTCAGGTTTGCGATGTGGCCACCATCCTAGGTATCTCTAGGTACAGTCCTACAGGTCAGTCGCGAAATCGAATAGTTCAGGTGTAACGTCTCTAACTGCAGCACTGGGTGACGCGAGTTGGAATCTCAGAAGGGACATGAGTTTCTCCAAGGTTGCAGACACGCCTTGCTGACGACTACCAGCTAGCACGAAACCTAGGTCCAAGGTTCCCTGCCGATTGCTTTTAACCATTTAGTATCACGAAATCAATGTGCAGCGTGATGGCGAGCTACTTAGAATTGTGGCCACATTGCAAACCTGACTGATAGAATTCAGTCTGCACCAAAGAAAGGACTAGACACATTACACTAGTTCCTGAATAGTGTCCAATCAAAGTTACTCTATATTTAGATGTTAATAAATGTAGAAATAGCTTAACATAAGACACTATGAAATAGCTGCAGACACTTGCTATTAGTTGAAAAACTAGGATTGCTACAATAATTAAGAAAGTAATGTGTCAACAGAAAGATGTAGATGGTATGAAGAGATTTATGTTATTTTAGAAGTTTTCGTTAAGAGAATTGCCTGCTGGGTTATCCACGTTTCTTGAGATGTGCATGAAAGTAAAGGTGAATTAGAAGCTGGAATATTCATTTGTGCGTTTATTCACTCAACTTTTGCTTATTTCCCTGCTTTTGTGTCCTTTTTATCTTTATCATATCTGTTGAAATGATTTTCTTTTTAATACAGCTGTTAGGTGTTTGGATAGCACTTCGTTATCGCCATCAACGTGATCCTCTTCTAGATCCCAACAGTGTTCTTTGATCAGTCTAACATTGTCCAGTTTATCATCGTTATTACTGTTGTTATTTCTGACAAGTTATACGATTTAATGACCTCCAGTATATATCACTTTGAAGTGCATCATTTGATTTACTATCATGCGAAAACCACCGTTTTTATTATTCATGCTTTACAGGTTGTACGCTATAAGACTTCTCTTTATCTTTCCCTTTCTAGTCATCAAGCATATTGAATCGATTTCTGTTTAACTTTTATTCATCATCTATTTTATGTATGATTTGTTCTTAATTATGTGTCCAGCGTATTATTTAAATAGTCATTATTAATTGAAACATCGATGGTTGATTTTTAGTACACAAACTGAAAGTAAGCAATTTTTTAATTCCAAAGTTGCAGCTAATAATACCACTACTGTCTGGATCTCGGGAATTGCTAATCTAAACACCATTTTCATTCTAGTATATTGTTCACTTTAAACTGATATGAAACGTGATTGTTCTTGTTTTTGTTAGCTTATGTCTGTTTAAATATCACTGTGATACAAGATATGGAGCACAATTTATGTAAATATTATATTTGTTCGTTTTCCATGTTTCTTTATGCATTAGACATCCGTCTATCGATGCACAAATCCTGGTGAACTAAAAGTGTATTCCGATAGTTGCGTGTTTATTTACGTTCTTCTTTTTCAGTCACTTGTTTTCGCGTTTTTCCTACATAATGTAGTTTATACTTTCAAGTCTGGTAATAGAATTTCATGAAACATGATTCATTCTTATTTATCTGACATAAATGGTCAGCTAGTAAACTTTCCTTATCCACCGTAGAACTTTAGTTAAGATTTTTAGAAAGATGTTTCATGTCTGTAATTGCCGGGGTCAAATGCTGTTTTCTAAGAAACGATACCAAGAAACAGAACACTGATTAATTATTGTCATATGTAATAACGTGTATACTAGTGATTATGCTTTCAATGAGCCGATTTCACTATTGATGACTACAATGTATAAATTAGTAAAACAGATGACACTTCAATGCCAGGAGATATATGCAGATGGTTTACTGTTCATTCCCTTGACACCCATATGTTGAAAGTTGTAAATTGTAGAGAAAAAGCATTCGTTTCGAGTGACTTTCCTATTTAATAAAACATTTACTAGAGACTAGTAAGAGACGATGTATTAGATTCGGTAGAGTCGTGTCTTCATTAAAGAACATTTTTTCTGGCAAGATAATAACTGTAATAACAGCCTTATTCTGGGTAGAATGTTTACACAATCTAAAGAATTCTCAACGTGATTTATTACATAATATTTTCTTTTCATTCAGGATTTTCAGACAAAATATCACGTGACACAGTGCTGTTCTTTCTAAAGGCTAATTGAAAATAGACATGAGAACATTTTGTGACTCAATGACTTAATTGGTTGGTTAGAACAATGAGAAATGGAAAAAAATACAATGCCCTGTGTTGGATGAAAACTGAGGTAGCTCAATGAGTCAAGCAAGCCACCGTTGAATAAATATGAGTTTAGCCTTTCCTGTAAGTGTGATGGGAACACCTTGTTGCTGTTGCATTCTTCCAATGACTCAACTAACCTTTCTATGATTTTAAGATTTTGTGGAGTATTTCTTTCAGTCACACTAGTTTGTTAAGACACACAAACTACTACATAGGTCAAACTAGTGGGTCAGGGGTAGTCAGATTGCCTGTCAGAACATAAGAATTTAGCTAAGGTAAGAATGGTTGACCCGAGAAGATAAGTAATTTAGAAAAAAGCTCAGCAATTGCAATGTATGCGCTAACACACAACCACACAATAGGGTGGGAGAGGGTTAAAATTCTAAAAAGTAATCTAGGTAGGTGGAGAGAGAGGTTGATTACTGAATCCTTGTTCATCGAGTCTACACCCAACACATGCAATAGGAATGACTCATCACTCATACCTGAAATATGGAAAATACTATTACCAATCAAATCAAGAGAAAAACAATGGAACTATATAAATGAATTTAGGAAGTCGTGTGATTACCTTGATATGATTATGAGCAATAATTTGTGCTCGAAACGTCATCAGTAAGCATTACTGTATAACACTGTGAGATTTTATCAAAATGAAATTTACTCATAATGGAATTACACTCTACCACAGTGCACAAGTTTTATTCTTATATCAATGACACACAAACTTGACTGTTACACTATAATTGTAGCTGTTAGCCGACTAAAAATTTATGACCATTTGTAAAATATTCTATTTGTTGATTAATGTCATGATGTGACGACGTTCATAGAATCACATCGATTAACTTCCAAACCTGACATCAATCCGTGAATTCTGTGATATTTCGATTAAGCCGCATGGGCGTTTGGGGATGCTAAGTACCACCAATGGCTGGTGACTATTGGCGATATGGCTCAAAGCGCTGGCGCAAATGAATTCATTCTTTGTGATCTCCCGAACCGAGTAAATCCCTATGTTATTGTTCTTTCTCCTTCACATTTCTCCCTTATGTAGTATCTTTGAATTTCTTTCTCTTTTATCTTCCTTTGTGTACTTCATGGAATTTGGCAAATTGAACTGCTACACTCCTATGCAAAGTGCTGTGTTGAAACTCAGTCGGTCAGCACAGTTGTTAGGACTCTCGCTGACCATGCACATGGTCTCAGGTTTGATCCTCCGCTGACGCACACCTGATATCTATAGTTGGCCTGCAAAATTTGGGCTACCGATATCACAAGCTGTAAATTCCGTACCTGTACCAGAACATACGGTGTAGAATCAAAAACAAAAAAATAACTTTGATCGCAAACAATTTTTATAGGTCGCTACTCATTGAAATTTTATCCTATATTATGGTGAAACTGATTATACTTGACTTCGGTTTTTATTATTAGCGAAACCAAATATACTTATAAATTTTGAAAAAATTGTAGGTATCAGCTGTCGAAGGACTATTCGGATCTTATAGACAACATCATACTATTCACTAGTTACTTGTTTTCGACAGAATACGACAACTTAAAGTAAGTATTCAGATATCAGGATTTTGCAACTTTTGTCAACCGCTTGGTTTTTCTTCTATCTTTCACAGGTTAACTTTTGTTCGTCCTGTTGTAAAATATAATTCCATCATCAGTATGTAGTTCTATATCACTGTGTTCTATCAAATAAAATTATACAATGATAGAGTCCTGTACATACTCTTTGATAAATATCTATAACGAAGTTAAAGGCGAAAGATCTATCCATAAATGAGGAGACATCAGAGTTACTAATGATTGCCCTCAACGACTTGGTATTATCGAAGGTGGGTAGATTTTGTTCCTCTCGAAATGCTGTCGTGTGGACACGCGTTCATAGCCTCTGCCATATAATCATATTTACTACCTTTACGCTAAGGGTGTTGTTCCTCACATTCGTTGGAGAATGAAGGCGAACTTCTGGTACTTACAATTGGACTGGTGGATATTACCAGTCTATCTAAAGGAGCTGGAAAACCACGACTCCAAACATATGTTGCACATGGGCTCCATAATCCGAAGGAATTGAATACCGTATGAACCTGATTTAGTCACCGAGTGCCTTGCAGATCAGACTTCAAGCCAAAGGTTTGGCAGGAGTGGGTGACCGCTTCGAACAACCACGTGCTTTGGTTTGGGCGTCCGGGCATTATCCTAGGCATCGCACAAACAATGAGACAACAATTCATGAGAGACTATAATTACGTGCTTACTGTTACTAACTACAGTCATATTTGTTGTAATGCGTTCCTTTGTGACTTTATTTTTTTTATATAGATGTGTTTTATTTTTATTGATTTCACTATCTTTGTTGTCTTCATGTGTTCCTTTGTCTCAGTTCGGGAGGATTCCCACTGGGACATATAGAAAATAAAAACAAGTGATTCAGCGAAGAGACTTCTCAACAAATTTATTATCAAACTGTGCAATCGTGTATAAATATGGTTTTTAAGAAATTATATCCTATAAGAAAATTCAAAGTTGTGAATACACAAAATAATAACAGTATGAAATGCAATTAAAATGTTTGTGATTATAATCATAGTTAGGTGTCAATTGGCAAAACTATTAATGTCATACATAGAATAGTTCAGGGGAGGTACGAAGAGTTAGTAGGCGGTGAATGAAAACATCACATAGCATGACGTGAAGTTGGATAACATAGACTTAACATTATAAAAAAACACTTTTTGATTTGGAACGACAAGTGAAATAATATCGGAATCATTTCGAATTGAGAATAATCATAGAAACACTCGACACAATAACGGAAGGATATACAAACTGGATAAACAAAACGAAAAATGCGTAGAGCCAAAGTATGAGTTGGGATTATCACACTTTAGCATAGACGGATTAAGACCATAACAGTTGGGGGGGGGATTGAACAAACCTTTTCTGTATATAGAGATCCGGTTTTTCTATCTCGATGGTGGTAGCCTCAGCAATACAAATAGTTTGGATATATAATGATTTAGAGAAGTTATATTTCTCCTTGCAGATAACTTTGAAGGAAGTAGTTATAGCAATAAGGTGACCAGTATCAACCCAACCGAAAGCTGCTACCTTGACGTGGTGGTCGGGCTTGAACACCGCAATGACCTAATCAAGCTATACTGGCTGAGACTTATGTCTCTTGAGGTTCTACCATGCCAGGCAGGTTGTTTGGATAGCGGTTAAACAAAAAGCAGCTACCCAATCCAACATCATGTCCAATACAAAATTACAAAATTTCATGCCGGATCGGCCGTGGCCCGGATTAACAACGACCGCGCTTCCTGCTGCCGTGTCACAGGGCGGGAGTGATAAATCTGCTACTGAGACACACCAAACAAAAAAGAACGAACAAAAACAGGCCGCGTGTGACCGGCCTCAAGCAGTTGTCCCCTGGGCTCTGCGGTCACGCAACCAACTTCCACGGTGTGGGCAGCCGGGAAGTAACAATCGCCCTCACAATCCGAAATGCACACGAAACCTCTCTATTACTCACTCATCT